CACACACACACACACACACACACACACACACACACACACACACACACACACACACACACACACACACACACACACACACGCACGCACGCACGCACATATGATGCATGGTTAAAACATAGACAGCTATAATGACCGTACGTTGTTTTCGGGGTAAGACTGTAGGATTTTATTACCAGGGAGAAATAATTTAAATAGAAGTTAAAACCTAAAATTGGGATGATGCAACAGTTGTATTCCACTCACGACATATGTGGTTTTGACTGGTTATGAATCTTATGATTACAATTGCTTATGATTTATCTTCGGAACTTGTGTTCACTAGTACATATTGTTGTACTTAATCAGAAGAATTCCCAGATCAAGCTCAAGAAAAATGCCTTGAGCACCGGTACCGAGATCGGATGCAAAATTAGCTTCAGTATTACAGGGTTGGAAAGCTGGTAGTTTTCACGAAAGACTTTCTTTTCCAACATCAGCGATAATGCATGAAAACCACCCTTCTTGAAAATTGGGCAGCACAGCATCCAGCCGGATGGTCCAGCTGGTTCCAGCATTTGGATCCTCTGGATTCCCGGATGATCTGGAAAGTGCCCATGTGGAAGACCCAAATTACTAAACTAGAGTTCTGACCAATGGGGGGGGTGTTTGTGCACCCCCGTATCAACCCCAGTAATGGAAACTGGCGGTTGTTTAGGGGTCTAACAAGCACCAAACACCTGGTAACCTCTGCATGGCATGCAACCCTTCCTGGAATTAGGGTTTGGGGCCTTGGGCAGCTTTATCACCTTTTACCAACAAATAAGGTCAATCTCTGGTACCGATTTCTATGATTGTGGCCAGTTCACAGTGCAAGAGTAAACTCTGAGACAATGCAGTAGTTCACAACTCAAGAAGAAGTGGATTTTAACTTTGAGACAATGCAGTATTTCACAACCCAAGAAGAAGTGGATTTAGACGAGAGAAGGAGAGGAATGGAAAAGTGAACGAAGAACAAGCAGCACACAAGATTGAATCAATGTCATTTTGTCCTCCTCGTGCCATCATCACCTCCCTCGCATAATCGCCTCCTTATTGTCTTATAAATAAACACTTAAAGTGCAATAATAAATGAAGGAAAAAACAAGAATCGATGTTAGAATGGTCCCCCTCACTGCCACAAATCAAAGAGCATTCCCATTGGCCTCTCTCTCCCTCTTACTCTTCTCCTCGTGGTTGCACATATCTAACTATAGCGGCTTATCCATGCTCAACATGGGTATTCAAAGGACAACGCACGACTACCATGCCTCTACCATCTCATTCTTCCATAGCCACACTCCCAGATGAAGTCCATGTGCAACCGGTATCCCAGCACGGGCCTTCCAGATGCAGAGCACCAGCCCAGGAATTGGAGATGAGGAGCCGCCATAGCCAAAGGTAAGTCTCTCTCGTCAGTCCTCTCCTTCTTCCTACTCTCTTATCTCTAGTCACCCCTTTCATCTGCCTCCATAGCCTAGCTTGAGATCCCTCTCCCTCTACCTCCATAGTCTAGGCTTTTTCCGTTCTTTCGATAGCCATGGAGGTCTTCCTCGTCCCTCGTCACCCTCCGCTCCTGCTTCAACCCCTCACTTTCCCACAAGGTGGAGCAGCGGCAGTTGCAGGACTTCTGGGTAAATGCCCAGACTACCTATGATATACTCTCGACGTTTGGACTCCAAAACCTCTACCAGGCACTCTCGTTCTGCAACAGTGCACGAGGTCTTATCGGAAGGTCCTGCCTTTTGTCAGCAACATCATTACAGGCCTGCAGTTCACCCACAGCGCCTGAATCTAACCTGATATAAAGCCACATTCTGGCCCTGAACCATCATGACCTCTGCAAGCTACTCTACCTTACTAGGGCCACCTGAGATAGGGGAAAATCCTACTAGGTCCCTTTCAACTTCTACTATCATCCTGGCCTGTTCTAGAGCTCCCAATAGGCTCTTCGACAGGCTCTTCCATTTTCAGCCCTACCCCTGTGATCTAAACCTATGTCCATTTTAGCCCTCCAGGGACACAAAAAAACAGTATGAGAGCAGAGTTAGCACACCGGCAGAGACTAGCGCCTGGAGAGCATCTCACAGACTTCTGGACACTGGCAATTCAGCAAAACACACTCAGTCTACAAAATCTCAGCAAACCAGGCCAGCTGGCAAGCACACAGGCATACGTACATTGCCAGTATGAGACACAGACACGGCAAATGAGATCAGCAGCAGAAACCTTCTCAGAAAAATGTCGATTCCTCAGAACGAAAAATGAAAAAGAAAGAAAACTCTTTTTTTTTTTTTTTACTTTTTTTTTTCCCAACACAAAGCCCCTTCTCTCCTGGGGGGCAGCAGTCCGGTTTGTACATCCAAAGAAGGGGGGGAGATCAGATCAGAAAAGGGGAACAGCCCAACCCTTGTAGCATTGATCGTCTACCAAGGGGGACCTGCTATAGGGGGCCCACCCCCCCAAACCATGGTGTTTCTCTGGGGGCCACCCTGCTGGCCGGGAGGCTTCCTAGCAGCACCCAGACACGCAGCAGGGGTACCCTCAGAGAGACGGGGTGCGGGAAGGGACCGGCCCTGCAGTTCCTCAGGCCGCCTATCAAACTCCACAGACTGTTGTATCCTCACTTCCTACTTAATCTACCTTTATCCAGCTATCATGCTATCTGTCTTAACCTGTTTGGGCTACCTTGCCATCCCTTTCTGTACCTTCCTCTTACCTAGCCCCCATGTCATTTACTGTCTCTATGTACCTTACTCCCTAAACCTATTTTGGCTATACTATGTATCCTCAATCCCCCCAGTGCCTTGTACCCCACATTGACTTTCCTGTTCATGTACTCTCTTTTTAGTATTTTTGCCAATTTTTTGGTGTTTTTGACACTTTTTGTTGTATTTTTGATGTCTCTGATGTATTGTGATCTGTTCAACCAACCCTCCCCTCCTCCTCCCTGTTCACCCCATCCCTTCGCTTGTCCTTTGGCCCTACTCCCTCTGCTCTAATCTCCTTCCCCTAATATTGTACACTCGCTAACTAGTTAATTATACTTACCACCTACCCCCCCCCCCGCCCCCCTGACTACTATACTTATCGGTTGCTTTTCCTTCACTAATCAGTTCCCTATTCGGATTCTTCCTCCGTGTCTGAACGTGGTCTTTGACGTCGAAGCAACGGACCGAACACCTTGCAGCCCTGATCCAGAACCGTTCTTCCTTCCCCTCTCCTTTGTTTCTGCTATGATGCCAATCCGCCAGGAGAGCCATCCGAATATTTTATAGCGCTCTATCCTGGTAAACCTGCAAGGGGGGGGGAGGTACCCTGTCTACAATGTCCGTTCCTCAGTGTCCACAAGGCCCACAACACCGCCCCCCTCACAATTTTGGCTGCCATCAGGTCCTCCGGTTTTGTCCTGTCCATTTTCATCAGTGCACCCAATAGGATAGCCGCATCCTCCTCCTCCGTGAGCTCAAGTGGGGTGCCCACCACTCCCAATAGGCCCGCACTATCGGGCATCGTACAAACAAGTGGGGCACTGTTTCCACTTGTGCACAACCTGCTGCACATCTCTGGTCCTTGTGTCGGCTCTTAGTTGCCAACCACTGCGCTGTAGGGATCGCTAGATGGTACAGCTGCCATAGGAGGTCTGCCGGTTTCTGATCTGGCAGCGCTGCCAGAAGTGCACATTGCTCATTCCACCTTTGTTGCGTCCATCTACCAAAATATATGTCAGGGATCCAGTTTCTCTTGGCCCATCGAGTCCTCAATTCCTCACGGATGTTTACCGGCTCCAGTAAGGAGTTATAAATATTTTTGGTTGTAAGGTTCTGGAGGGGCACGTCTCTCCTTTGCATTCTTTGTCTCCGTCATTCCCATTCTCTGGGATCCCATATCAAATCCCACCGCCTGGTCGCAATACAGAAGGGAAGGTACTACCCCGCCCCCCCTTCCCTCCCTCACACACCACAACTGTTTCAATTGCACTCCTGTCCATACTTTTTCGGGGGTTCCCTTGCCCCCCTGCGTCCTCTAGCAAGGGTTCCCCCAGACCTTCATAGCCCGTATTCACACCCCAACCACTGACCTGTAGTCTTCCATCCTCCAACACGTCCTCCACCTTGTAAATTCTCTCCCCTTTAGTGTCTCCCCGCATCCTCACCCATTCCCCTGGGATGCTCTCGTCCTTTCTCAACAAGTCAATCCATCGGGGAGGGATAGCCTCGCGGATTTCTTCCACCCTCTGCCTCCTCCTCATCCTACCCTGCAGGAGATTTCACCACCTCATTACCTGGGCGCCAGTCCCTTTGGTCCTCATCCCATAGGTGGCCCACCCTGCTCCGCCCACTTCCATCCATAGGCTCCCATGGGCTGTGCCAGGGCAGGGGTTCACCGCTGGCATCACATATGAACCTATTGCC